TATATATATAGGTGTTTTAAAATTCGCGCCCGCAAAATACAAGACGTCATACTTTACACTAAAAGAAACAATTTTTTCCTTTTGCAAAATTGCGTCTAACTTCAATCTGCTCTCCTGCAAAAATTACTTATTGAAGTCAACAAATAAGTGCAAAAATTATTTATAGGAGGCAATTTTGTTAAAGGAAAAAGTTAATTGTTTTAGCATAAAATATCACTTCTTGTACTTCGCGGGCGCGAATTTTGACTCTGACATATAAAGGAAAGGCCTCTATTATGAGATATCGAGTTCATTTTGGGTAAATGCTAGAAATCTATAGGCAGAATTTAAAAAAATAATAGTCATTTTGAAGAGAATTTAAGCTTTAAGATAAAATTTAATACATTACATAAAATTTAATTCAAATTCCATTTTTTTTTGAAAATTAAAGAAATGTAAAAAGTGAGCAAATCGCGATCAAAAAATTGTGCTCCTAATATGAGGTGTCGCGAGAAATCAATAGTAAAACGCAAAATATATCAGTATTGCAATTAAATAATTTTATTTAATATTTCTAAAATACAAACACAGCCAGTGTACGCGAAAAATGAGCATACGATAGATTATACCCAGAACTTGTTTTCAGTTGGAATCAAGCATCGCAGATATAGGCACTCGACGTTCATTCCGGTTGTCTTTTTTTATTATTGTACAATAACATTTATATTTTAGCAATGATTTTCACTATAATATAGGAGCATGGTTATTTCATATTAGAAATATCCTGGGTATTTCATATTACGATTTCCGTCTTATGATTTTATGATAAAATCTAACTTCTGTAAACAATTCAACATATCCCGTATTTTTCTATTAGTACTTACTATCACTATATGAAGAATTTATTGCCAAATATTTATTTTTTATTAAATAATAAACAAGATTTAAATGCTCATCTCGATGTAACTTAAAAACATCTAAATTCTATAATTTATTATTTTACAATGACTACAGACATGATCTAATAATGAATTTTCTACTAAATAGTTTTCAATCCAAAAACAATAATCATAGTAGAATCAATAGATAGCGTTTATTAGTTTAGCAAAAACGCTATCTCATAATAAGGGGCTTTCCTCTATGTATATAATTTTCTTCCTATTTTAAATCTTCTTTATTATCTTTAAACAATGTTACTATATTTTTATTTTGTCTCGAAAAAAGAATACTCATAAAAATTAAACTGCAAAAATCTTTGTAACATTTAAAATATTAATATTAATATTATTAAAATATTGATCTATTAACAAAGAAAAATAACTACGCAGCTGGAACACGAGGTTGTACAAAAATAATTTATAAATATTATATCAATTATAGTATATATTGTACTGCTACGTATTAGATGTGTTTATTCGTTCTTCGTACGCATTCCAAAGTTCTTTTTTGTATTCTAAAGTAGCCTTTAGATAACCGTTACCCGTATCCGTGATACCCCTGCCAACGACGGCTAAATCAGCACCCGCATTAATAATCGATTGTGGATCGTTGTATTGTTGACCTAGCCCGTCTACACTTTTGACAAGCTTGACACCAGGTGTCAACTGGAGTAATCCAGGTTGTGCTGAGAGATTGGATTGGCATACGAATCCTACCACCAAATCAGAGGCTTCCTCTGCCATTAAAACTGCGTTCTTTAGATAATCACCAGTCGTCAATGTACCTTTGCATGACATCTCAGCGACTAAGAAAATGCCACGGGGTTCAGTGATATTGTCTAAACTTTTCTTCAGTGCGTCAACGACGGATGCACCTGATATCGGATGTACCGTAATCAAATCGGCCCATTCAGCTATCTTATAAAAGCCGTGTCTGTATTGTAACGATACCGTGTTGCCGATATCGCCGAACTTGCGATCTTCCATCAATAAAAATCTATGCTGCCTCGCTAGTTCTTTGAGGCGAAAAATAAAGTTTTCGTTGAAATCCTCTATGATATCTACGTGAGTTTTCAGCACGGCAATATGAGGTCCCGCTATGTTTGCTAATTCCAAAATCGCATCCATTTTCGTTAGGTCTGCCGCCAAACAAAGATTGGTTTGTTTTGATTCCATTAGCTCCAATAGTTTTGAGGCCAATGGATTTGTTGTTAATTTTGCGCGTTTACTATATGACAGTTTCAATCTGTCATCTGGCACACCTAGCAACATTAAGATGACAAAATTATAATAGAATGTTTTATATATACCTATACACTACACCTATTTACATATATTTACAAGAAAGAGAGAATTCTGTTTATCTGAATATGTCGAAGGATAAGAAAAAATTATCTGATAATCATGGTTCAGATAAGAGAGATTCATCAGCTTTTCTCTTTATCAGTACTTATATTAGTTCTGATAATATAAGTTAACATTCATTTTAAAAAAACAGGAAACACGTTGAGTAAGTCGAGCTCCTATTATCTGGCGCCATAGTTCTGATAATAACTTAACTATGAGTTTGTATATTTAGAATTGATTGTGAGGTATATTTGGAAATTGTTCATATAAATGGAATGCAGATAAACAGAGTTCTACTATATTATGCATATAAGTATATATATTATAATATAAATCATAAATTAGAGTATAGTCATATAAGTCATAAAATATAATATATGTATTACAAATAATTTACCTTGAACAGATATGCTCGGTGCCCGATTTGCTATCAAATAATTGTCAACATCTTTGACTATTTCAGGTGTGATCTTTCCAGCCTCCAGGAGATACTTCATAAGCTGTGTAATCACGAACAAACTCTTAACTTTAATTTCGTGATTTTCAAGATTCTTTTTGCCACCTTGCTCCCTATCGATTAGCACATAAGCTTCTGTCACGCTTAGATTTTCTTTTTTCAAGACATCGACAGTTTCTAGAATACTGCTGCCACTTGTTATAACATCCTCAATAATCACGCAATTTTCACCAGGTAAAAAAATACCCTCAATTAACTTCTTTGTGCCATAGGACTTTGCTTCTTTTCTCTTCATTAACATAGGAATCTTCTCTTCTACTGATATCAAAGTAGCTAATGGCAATGCGGTATATGGAACACCACAGATTCGAGACACTTTCGCAGGATTATCCACCAATGTCCACAGAGCTTTTGCCAATTTCAACTACAACAAAAAAATAAACGTCATATACATGATATATAGAACCGAATTCTGCTAAAACTTCAATTAACTCAATTGGCAAAACCACTTACAACAAAATGTTTGATTGTACAATCTATTATCTTTAATTTTTTCTATGTGTTAAAAATAAACATTTTCATTCATCTTAAAAAAAACTATTATTATTACTTAATAAGTTAACTATCAATTAATCAGTTAAGTTTAGTCAAGATAATCTAATATCCATTTCTATCAATATAAGATTAATTTTGATCTCATATTAACTTACTTTTCATCTTTTCCTAGTTTTAAAAATTAG